GAAACCCTCTCAAATCGCCCATCGAAACTCGAACCTCTCTAAGCTTTTTCTTCAGGTAAATGCTCTTCTTCTCTGAAACTGTGAGGTTTAATTGCTTTATTTCTAAACTCGATCCTTGATTCCGAATCTCTCTGTACCGTCTTTAGGAAATATGAGGATTACAATGGAAACGGCGAGTGAGAGAGTCGATGGCCTGAGTTTCCACACCAAAAAGCCATGGATTCTCTCGAGCTTGCACAGTGGTGAGATCCTGCTATGGGATTATCGCGCCAAGAGCTTGATCCGTACGTTCGACGAACACTATGGACCTGTTCGTGGTCTTGATTTCCACAAATCCAAGCCATGGTTCGTCTCTGGAGGTAACGATTCACATACCTTGAAGAATATACAATCGATTACTTCTCTTGTTATGCTCAGATCCTGATTTTGTTTGGAATCCGATCTTGCCCTAGGGGATTTCTAATTCGTAACATAGGTTTATGATTCAGATACCTTAAAGAATATATACAAACTGTGCCTTATAGAGGTTGTAGAAGAAGCAGTATCATGTAAATTGCATACTCTGGAGAGTTTAGTATGTTTCGTCTTATGCTTTTTTTTGTTTGTGAGAACACAGTTCATGTGTACTCTCTTCTGTTTTGGTTTAATATTGAAAGATTTTTCTGGATTGTTCAATTTTGATTGCAATTGTCTGAATGAGAATCAAAAATAGCAGTCCTGTGTTCTTGATTTCATTGAAATGGTTGGGAATTGCAGGGGATGATAAGAAATGGTTGATGTGTACTCTCTTCTCTTTGGTTGAACGTTGATATATTTCCTGGATTGTGTAATATTGATTGCAGTTGTCTGAATTAGAGTCAAAAGAGCAGTCCTGTGTTTTTGATTTCATTGAAATGGTTCGGAATTGCAGGGGATGATAAGAAGATTAAGGTCTGGAACTACGAAACAAGCTGGTGCTTTATTACTCTTTTCGGACATCTGAATAATGTCCGCACAGTTCAATTTCACCACGAGTACCCCTGGATTGTGAGTGCTAGTGACGATCAGACTATCCGCATATGGGACTGGAAATCAGAGACTTGTATTTCTGTTCTGAAGGGTCACAACCACGAGGTTATGTGTGCTTCTTTCCATCTGAAAGACGACCTTGTCTTATCAGCTTCCTTGGACCAGACTGTCCGTGTTTGGGATATTGGTGCTCTTAGGAAGAAGATAGTATCTCCTGCTGACGACCTCCTGGGTTTGAGTCAGATGAATGCGGGTCTGGGGAAAAAAAAAAAAGAATGCGGGTCTTTTTATAGTCAAGTATGTGCTCGAAGGTCATGACAGTGGAGTAAACTGGGCTTCTTTTCATCCTACCCTTCCTCTCATTGTCTCTGGCGCAGATGACCGCCAAGTCAAGTTGTGGCGCATGAATGGTAATTGTTTTAGATTCGTAACTTTTTTTCTTTACATCAAAAAATTTAGTATTCAATTATGGATGATACACTGATACACATTTTTTCACATAGTACGAATCTTAGATTAATGTTGGCTTTTATTTTCAATGTCATTACAGAAACTAAAGCTTGTGAGGTGGTTACATTGCGAGGCCATATGGATAATGTGTCATCTGTTCAGTTCCATGCAAAACGGGACATTATTGTCTCTGTCTCTGAGGACAAAAGCATCCGTGTCTGGCATGCTGGCAAGCGAACTGAAATTCAGACTTTCCAGCTCAATCATGATAGATTCCGGATTCTAGCAGTTCACCCAGGGATGAATCTACTGGCAGCGGGACATGACAGTGGTATGATCGTCTTCAAGCTTGAGAGAGAGCGTCCTGCATTTTCTTTGAGTGGCGGCGACTCCTTGTTCTATGTTAAGGATAGTTTTTTGCGGCACTATCAGTTCTCATCACAGGAAGACTCCCAAGTTATCCCTATACGAGGTTTTGGTACTGCAAGCTTGAACCAAAGTCCAAGGACTTTATCTTACAGCCCGAAAGAATATGCCGTTCTCATATCTTCAGATCTGTATGGCGGTTTTTATGAGTTGTACATCATACCAAAAGATAGGATCAGGAAATACTTTGTGCGAAGGAAGAGAGATATTGGTCGTTCTGCAGTTTTTATAGCCAAAGATAAGTTTGCTGTTCTTGAGAAAAGCACCAATCGAGTTTTAGTCAAGGATATTCAGGACAAGCTGTTTAAGACAATAACCCTGCCAATCCGCACTGATGCTATCTTTTATGCTGGAACTGGAAATCTACTTTGCATATCTGAAGATACAGTGTTTGTGTTTGACCTTCAGAACAAAGCGATGCTCGGTGAACTTCGGACTCCGTTTGTTAGGTACGTTGTTTGGTCCAACGATATGGAGAGTGTTGCTTTGCTCAGCAAACATGCTATCATTATAGCAAGTAAGCAGCTTGTCCACCAATGCACCCTTGAAGAGACAATCAGCGTGAAGAGTGGAGCTTGGTATGATAACAGTGTATTCATCTACACAACTCTGAACCATATAAAATATGGTTTTCCAAATGGCGATAGTGGAATAATTAAAACTCTGGACGTCCCTATCTACATCACAAAGGTTGCTGGAAATACCATTTTCTGCTTGGATAGAGAGGGAAAAAACAGGGTCATTACCATTGATGCAACAGAATACATTCTCAAGCTTTCACTGCTCGGAGAGAATTACGACCATGTCATGAGCATGATAAGAAATTCTGAGCTGTCTGGGATGGCTGCAATCGATTACCTGAAGCAGAATGGATTATCTGAAGTTGCCCTTCAATTCGTTGAAGATGAAAGGATCCGATTGAGCCTGGCTTTGGATATCACTGAAGACGAAGAATTATGGGAGTTTGGGATTATAGACATTGAAGGATTGTCTGCAGATGAAGGTGAAGAAGAAGAAAAAAATTATGGTCGTTGGAACTTTGACAAAGAATGTGAAGGGGGCGAAGGTTGGGATGTCATAAATTTCGAGAAAATTGGCACCTCAGGCAGCAGAACGAGACTTCGACGATCAGGAATTGGCAACTCAGGCAGCAGAACGAGACTTCGACGATGCCCTTAGGCGTCGATCTATACAGGAATTGGCAACTCAGGCAGCAGAACGAGACTTCGACGATGCCCTTAGGCGTCGATCTATGCAGGAATTGGCAACTCAGGCAGCAGAACGAGACTTCGACGATCAGGAATTGGCAACTCAGGCAGCAGAACGAGACTCCGACGATGCCCTTAGGCGTCGACGAGACTTCGACGATGCCCTTTGGCGTATCCTTAGGCGTTCGGGTCTGCTTAGAGAAGAAGAATAGAGAAGAATAGAGAAAGAATTGTTAACTCTCTTTTTTTTTGTGTGTTTCTTTTGTTTAGTGATGAATTTGATTCGATGATCTTCAAGGACTTGATTCATTTTTCTTCTTCTCCGTAATCGTGAAATTGACTAGTAGTATCTGTGTAGTGACCACTTCACTCTTGCGTCTCTCGCCGAAATCTCCGGTTTATTTTCAAGTGTAAGCTAACGATTTCGCTTTTTCGTTTTCACTAGCTAGATCAAATTTTGTCTTGTTCTTCTAATTTTTGAGTTTCCGTTCTTCGATTTCTCGTCCTTCATGTCATGTGTACTTCGTGGAAGAGACACAACAACAAAAAAGTTCTCCAGTTTTTTGTTGAATGTATCTCTGTCAATTTATTCGTCCATATAATAGATTCGAGGCACTGTGCGAGTTATAGAAATTTCCGATTTATACGCTTATGGGAATATATATAATGCTCTTGGATTTGATAGATGAATGTTCAAACGCAATGATATGCTTTGTTTTTTTTTTTGTATATCTTTGAACTTTCAATTGGAATTTTTTTAAAGAAAATTTCAGAGGGAAGGTTGAAGCTGAAGAATAATGTTCAAGAAAAGTTTCCGAAGAGAGGTATGAGTCAATTTTGCAAGCTAAATTCTGTTTATTAGTGTGAGTTCTGAATCCTGTTGCTGTTAAGTTTTTTACTAGTTTTTAGTATATATATAGTGATGATGAGTAGTTATAAGTTGTGAACAGGATGGTGCTTCAAGAGGAAAGAATTCTAAGCGTGTTTCGAATGAACCTGCTTCTGATTCGATGGATGATGATGATAAGACATACTCATCGCTGGATTACAAAACTCCTGTTGGTTCAAAGGTTCATTGTGTAGATGATTTGTCTGACTCAACATCAAGGAGTGGAACTTCATATGTACTCTCTCTCTTTCTGGTCTCATTTATGATTATGATTCTGTTTTGTTTAAACTGTTCTAAGCTGATTCATCGGTTTACAGGAACCAAAGAACGCCGATGTGCAGGACGAATGTGAAATTCAGTCTATACGTAGCTCAGGACCAAATAGAGGAAATGCCGAGGTTGGAACTTCGGGAAGGATGCAGAACGAGACAATGCATTCCCGTTTTCCCACATTCCATGCTAGGTGAATGAGTTACATACATAGCTGAATTCTCTTGAGACTCTTATTCGGTCCAACTTAGAAATCACTCACTTTCAATTATATGTAGTGAACAAGGTCCATGGTCTGCAATGATTTGCTGTGTACGATTATGTATCCGTTCATGGGAAACAGATTGTGTCAGTGAGGCTTCATACTTCCTCAAAATGCGAAATGCGTTTGGGTGAGACATGTTTTGGTATATGGATTTGTTGTGTGATCTTTGTGCATTGCCCTGTTGTTTAATGTTAAGAATGAAATATCTAGTTTGCAGAAGTTCTTCCTTCAGTCTGAAGAAGATCTACTGGGAAATAGACCTTCTGTCTTGGTTACTGAGACAACTGCTCCAAAATTCAAGAGAGGTGTTGGAAAAATTGAACTCGAAGGTATAGTTTTTTCATTTCCGCATATGAGCTATATGAGAATTGTTGGAAAAGAAGTCAAAAGTATGTAGTTTTACAGTTGGTAGGATCAAAATGGGATCAGATCCACTACCTGGTTGCAATATTTCATCACTGAAGCCTGAAATTATTAATCAGCAAATCGCCGACCTGAATGCTACTTTGTCTTCTGGATGGAAAGCAGTAAAGAGAATTCATGTCGCTCCTCGAGTTCCTTTGAATGGTTCACTTTCGCGGAAAAGTTTGGCGTATTTGCGCGCTACCTTAAACAGGTCTCCAAAGTCCTGAAAAAAGAAATTGTTACATCTCACACTGGACCACGTTCTGTAAAAGCATTACAAGGTATATTTGGTTGCATTTTACTTGTGTCATTACTGTTTCATCRTTCTGAATGTTCTAATWACGAKWCTRTMWMTGTCACTTGTCAGAAAAGTTTTCATGTTCATTGAGGCTAAAGAGCTCTGCCGAGGAGGATCATATCAAAACACAACCTGAATCTGGCGAAACATTTGTATTGTACGTTTCCTTTGTACATTCATGGTTTTCCTTTATATTCCTTTTTCCTACATAGCTGGAGCTAAATGTGGTTTCCTTTGTGGTCGTGTCTTAGCTCAACTAGCAGCTATAGTTGATGAACCGGTGCGATACTTGTTAAGCCTTATGTTGTGTATACAAGATATTTGGCTTAAAATCTGAAGTATTGGTTGTTGTAGCAGAACCAGAAGCTTATTAAATGGTGGGCAATATATCATGAACCAGAGCATGAACGTATTGGGAGAATACAACTTCATATAAACTACTCAAGCAGCTTAGATGAAAAAACTAAGGTACATGATCTTTTCCACATTTGAAGCTGTAAACTGACATTTTCCATTTCTGTTTAGTGTGGATTGGTTGCAGAAACTTCAGCATACGATTTGGTCCTGGAAGTGGCTATGAAAGCCGAGCGATTTCAGCACCGGAAATTGTTGATTAAAGGGCCCATGGCACTGGATGGTAACACAATTTGCAACTTATTACGGGATTTCGGATGGATATACAAAATTAAGGTACTTTAGCAACAAAATATACCAAAAAGTTTCATGCAATAAAGTTGATATAATGCAAGACTTTTCGCCAATTTGCAGATATCTTTCATATGTCATGGATGTCGAGGACTGCCTTGATCTGATATATGATTTTCTCTAACCTGTTATAGTGAAAGAGAAATATAAGTCTATATTGAGTCATCAAGAGGTAGTTTAATTTCTTGTGTAGATCATGTTTCACTATTCAAGTAGCTCACTTTTCATTTTGGTACATTCTACAGAATCGCTTGCTTAGGGAAATTGATGAAAAAGTTCAGCAGATTCTTGCTTCGACGTTCGAGAATTATAAATCTCTCGATGAATCTTGTTTCTCTGGAATCAAAGATGTTTTCGAGCCTCCTATCAAGCTTTATGGTCTTCTTAATGACGTGTTAAGCCCCGAGGCACAACTAAGACTTTGCAGATACTTTCAGGTATCAAAAACACACGCACACACAATCTCTCTCTCATTTTTTCCATCTTACATTCCATTGCGTTTCAGGCTTCTTCAAAGAAATTAAAGGTCAATAAGATACTTATCGGAAACAAACGACATACTTCACAATCGTATAGAGGGTGCACAAGTCACTCCTGACCAGGAGATGAAGTTTTTAATTTTGAGTTTTAAGAAGGAAATCTCAACTGATATAGCCATTCATAACTGCAATGTGCTCCCAAGGTTTGTCTAGTTTTTCATATATACTACATTTATATTACTAATTTGGTGTATCTCTCTCTCTACTGTGAACTCCAAAACAGCTTTATAGACCTTCCAAATCTTTCAGCAGCGATATATAGTATGGATCTATTCAACAGACTAAGGGAATATCTTATCGCTTGGCCTCCTCTTTCTCCATCATTACGACTGCTGACTTTGAAGCCGATCTCTCTCGTTGGAATTTAAAGTAATATTTGCTCTTGCTTTTCACTGGTACTTTTAGACTTTCATATTACAGATACACACTTATATTGTTGTGTTTGGCAGTCCGATCAAACGTGGTGTTAATGCCAAAGAGCTTTTCCATTCATATATTACTACTGGATCGAAGAGAAAAGAAATTCTCTATATGAATTCTGCAAGACCGAGATGGTACTAATCTCGCAACAATCAGTGTATAGTTCTGACACTAGAATGCAATTGAAGATAATTTGATTGTAATCAGGCAAAATCATGTAGTGAGATTCAAGGATTAACCTCTCCTTTTGTCGATGATATGTATGAGTTACTCAACACGACACTTGATGATTTTGATATCATCATCAAGCGTTGGCCAGAATACGCATCATTCTTGGAGAAGGTAAGTTATAAACAAAACAAAATGTCGTTGATTCTCACATGTAGATCATCAAAAGCAGTTGCGTTCGGCTTGATGAACTACGAACATTATTCCATGGCTCAGAAGGCTAACTTATAAGTGTATTGTTTTTGCTCTATGGAAAAGGTTATAGCGGATGCGGAGAGGGCATTAATTGAAGCGTTGGAGAAGCAATTTTCCGAAGTTCTATCTCCGTTAAAGGAAAGCAAGATATTTGCCCTGAAATATGTTCAAAGATTGACCAAGACAGGCACATCTAACCTCTATTCTGTTCCAAAAGAGGTATGCTCACTGTTCTTATAAATAATTTACATGTTTTCCTTTGAATTATTGTGAGAGAAATTCTTTAAAAACATGTTTCAGCTTGGAGTTCTTCTAAATTCGATGAAAAAAGTGCTTGACAAATTACGGTCAAGTATAGAGAACCGGTTCAAAGTGTGGAACTCTTATTTCCCTGATAAAGAAAGCAGAGTTTTGGGAGATCGAGCGGCTGAAATATAAACTTGGGAGAGTTTCCCTGATAAAGAAAACAACTTAATTTTGGTTCGACAAAAACTTGTGATCTAAAAATATAAAACTAAAAAGTCCTACTTTTTTTTTTTTTGGGTCACATGTCCTACTTGGTTTTATATATAAAGAAACCTAGCCATCAATTATTATTTATAATACCAACTACCAAGCTAGCTATACAAGCAACCCTATGCTCTCCACCCATCGAGAACCACCGAACAAGTCAA